CTTTCTCTCTAAAATGCATACAGAGGAACATCGACATAGTTAAAGGATCGTTTTGCTTCGAAGGTCGTGAGTTTTCCCTAGAACTTGCAAGGTTTTTCTGGAGGTGAAGATCAGCCCTTTGTCATTGAAATTATTGTAAAGGGGTTGGACCGGTTGTTTGGTTAACATTTCCTTTGTCTTTTTTTATTATTAATTTTTCTTTTTGGAAATACATTTTTTTTGTTTTCTTGAATTACGCCTTAGTTACTCCCACTCGAATTTGAATTGGCACGAACCTGGTTTCCTGGAAGGAATTCATTGTAGTGGAATCGGGGCGCGTTAAGGTAAACTTTTTATTTGAACTTAATTAATAGTTGGTATTTTCATAAATCCAACTCACTGCGCCCTGTGCCCGTTACATATGGCGCAGTCGGTAGGATCTCAAATTTTGATTAGTTGATAAACAGCCTAATCAAAATTTAATCAGGAATCCAGAAAGTAAATTTTTCCGTTTGAAATATTTCTGGATTCACGGGAGTCCAATTCCGAGTTGGGAATAATAGTTTCGGCTAGAACTCTTGTGAAAGGTAAATTCAAGAGAAAGTAAAAAAAGAAGCATGGCTGAAGGGAAGTTTCTTCTTTGAATTCAGATATTTTGAGATCAATTCCTGAATTTTCGGGAGAAAAGGGATTAATTCCTGTTAGGGGATTTACAGAGAAAATCCAAACTGCAAAAACTTTGGTGTTGTGGGCTGATCCAGTCGCGATCGCCATAGTCCGACTCAAAGTTACAGGTCCTGCCCGGAGTTTCCTCGCCGCGGACCCAAAAGCAAAAGGTGCCACAGAGCTGAGAGATATCATAGATATCCTAATTGCTCAGTATGAAAGAAAGGAGGATCTCACGACTCTTCACCATGAATTGGCCAGAATGGCGCAATTTTCGGAGAGTCAATGAAGGATTGGGGGGCGAGGATAAAGAGAATAGGAGCTAGATTCATCAGAATCACCACAGATTCCTCCTTGCTTAAGGAGTTACTTCAAAGTAAATTTGAACAG